AAGAACTGTTTCTTTTCTCGTCTATCAATTGAAGTTTCCGCGCATCATTACCGTCAAAAAAAAAAAAAAAAAGTGTCGCGAAAATCGACAAATCTTTTCCGCGCGTTTATTCGCGATTTGTAGCGGTAATAAAATATAATCGACCAGCTCTCGGGATATTTTAGTGTAAATTGCGACACCGTGTGTGTGTCTTGTACGCTGCTCACAACAGAAGAATAGATTCGAACCGCTCTTTCCTCTAAATTAGCGGCGGACCTCGGAAAGGTCTGTAGGATCGCGGCGGCCCCGTATACTACTGGTTCATTTGCCACGAGGGGGAATGAAATAGACGGAAGCGAAGGGGGATCGAACCACTAAACTCGCGTCCAGTAAATAGAATCTAATCAACTCTAGTTGCGGCCAATCGGTCAGATTTTCAGTCAAAACAAAGCTTTTGACGAAGGCGTTGCGCGCCGTTCTCCGTTCCGGAAGACAAAGCGCGAAGTAATTCCGAACGATGTTGTTTCGCGATCGATGAAACACGCGAAAGTGACGGTGACAGAACTGTGCCGTTAAAAAAAAAAAAAAAAAAAAAAAAAAGCAATATAGCGAGACGAACGTAGTCTGCGAGAAGAACGAAGAGATTACTCGAGTCTGGACGAGAGAGAAGGTCGGCGAGGCATAATTAAGTGGCGCGACAGGGAGGGTGACAGGATAGCGTAACTGCGAGCGCTTTTTTTTTTTTTTCCGAAGGCACAGGGGCAATTTTTTTTCTTCTTTAATGTTAAAAAAGTTACGCTAATATGTGCGCAGAACCGACGGTAAGAGAGAAAAAAAGCAATTTGTTTCGCTAATCTTTCTCGACGACACACATAATTGAAATCCCGTCGCAATTATGAATCGCGACGCGGAGGGGATGATCTTTATATCTGCGCGCCAAATCCCCCGCTTCTTTCACTTTAATGTGTTCGATGTGTTCGGTGCGTAAGTGATAAACGATCGATCATAAGAAAAAACGTCTTTATCTTAAACAAGTAGTATGATTAATTAAGGGTTGTCCTCGGGTTCTTTATGGATTTTATCAAATTCAAATATGCGTAACTACTTGTTATCGTTGCAAAACAACCTGCAATCGGTTCTAATAAGCCGTAATTACACACACTTGTCTTTATTTTATTATTTTTTTAATGAAAAATAATATTCATATGAAGACTATTGCATTTGATTTTTTTTTCAAGATATTGAAATATATTTTATATATACATATGTGTGTGCGTATGAAAAAGAATGTAAACTCACAACGGAACAAATAAATTTTATAGAAGACAAGATTCATTAAGTGAGAACCGATGGTGAAACGAGCTCAGCCATTACGAGGCGACGGAAGCGGAAGTGGCGCCTCGAAATATTTCACAGAAACTTATCTCTTACAGAAGTTCTCTCTCTCTCTCTCTCTCTCTCTATCTCTCGTTCTTTTTCTCTTGCCATCTGTAAACTTTTTAACTCTATTTATTTCGCACCGTGATGCGAAGATTCATTCGGTTGTTATTATTTATTACTACCGCATCCCGCGGGGGGTGGCGGGTAGGAGAGCGCCTGGGTGCGAGCGCGAGCTTTTCCAAGAGGGTGGCGAGCAATAATCGCCAACAATAAACGCGAATCGCACTTGATTATTATGATTGTCCAACTCCTTTCTATAGCACCCTCAAATAACTTCGTTTCTCGTTAGTAGCCAGGCTCCCCTTATGCTGCCGTGGCAAGCGGAGGGAAAATTTGGCACGAGAGACGAAGACGAGACAAGGCGAGCGGAGGGAGGATTGAAAAAAGACGGAAGGAAGACAGAGAGAGAGAGAGAGAGAGAGAGAGAGAGAGAGAGAGAGAGAGAGAGAGAGAGAAGGAGAGTAGCGTTTCCGTTTGCGAGTCCGAAGGTCGGAGGGTGAATGACAGCGGTGCAATTTGAAAAATTACAGGAGCCGCATACGCTTACATGTTAACCCTCGTTCTCTCCTCCTAATATCCCGTGGGCAAATATCTCGCGCGCTGACAAAATTTTGCTTGCTCTTTCGATTCGCGACGACGACGTCGCGATGCGAATATCTCTCTCGCGTGCGCATCTCCTTCGTACAATCTCGTTGACGTACAACAGTCGATTTTTTAAGATCTACATTTTTTTAGTTTAATTCTATACAGTTTTTCAATTCAATTTTTATCAAGACATTTGAAAACTCACCAAGCAAGTTAGAATCATTCGCCTCGGCATCGCGATATCATCTCCTCCCTGTCTTACCGCGGTAATCAGTGCCCCCGCTACTACTAACTGGTGCAGCACGCGTAACTATTCGGAGAACACGTGCGGAGACACCAAGAAGCACGCAAGTCGTGAGCGCTTCTCTCGCTCTTCGACTCTCCTCAAAGGTCCTTCTCCCGATCGTAATCTTTCTGTCTCAGGTACGTGCGTTCGGTACGTGTTTGTCGGAAATTGTCGATTACACACGGTGGCGCGGCGCGGGCCAGTTTATTACGAACACGTGGGAGAGAATCCGGGCGCGCACGTAACGTCGTAGGTAATACGTGTACCCGAAACGCCGGCAGTCGGCGGTAACGCCATAAGATAGGGTCTCATTATTGTCGGTACAGCGTTCCTAAATTGCCGCCCCGAGCCGCCGGGTAGACGACGAAGCGCCCGGGTTTCGCTGCGACTAACTAACGGTGGACCAATTAACTTTCAATTAGTGGATGGAGATAACTCTTATCGGGGTCGCGGGCCGCGGGGGCGCCGGCTTTTATGGGGCCCTTCTTTACCCGACGGCCGACGTTTATGTCCGCACTGATACATTGTCCTCCGGCAAGGGTTAGATACGGATCTGCTGTGTACGTAAAAGCGACATTATCCGATCGAAGAAATTGGTCGATTAACCAACGCTCGCGCGAGCTCGCGAGCGTTCTTCTTAAACGCGATTAAATCTTTATATCTGCCACCTGTGCGAATATCGGCAGTTCGCGCGAAAGTTAATTCCCCCCCCCCCCCCGACAAGAAGACGTGATATCGGCGCGCGTCTATTATGTATCTATATACACGCGTATAGCGCGGCAGGGAATATTCGGTTTTCTCCAAATTTTTGGATTTTTACTAATTTCAAACATATCGCGCGATTAAAGTAATAAATGTATCGTCGCGCGGCTTCGGGACAGATCGAGCGGCGAGTATTATTTCGTTCGGATAACGCGCGGCAAAACGCGCGTATATACATACACTACTATAGCCATCGAGGAGGCAACTCGTACAGGACATCCATATGTATGATTATGAGAACGGAGTTATCACCGAGGCTCCGGTAGGAGAACGAGCCCGCAGCCAAGTTCATATTTGTGCATTACGCTCACGTGCAACGATACAATAAGGAATCCTTCGTATCGGGGATGCATGCTAAGTACACAACATCGAGCGAGCGAGCGAGCGAGCGGGCGGGCGAGTCGTAGGTATCTAGCAATGCCGATGCGTCGTTTTCCCGTGCCAGAGGCTTCGATCGTCTGTCCCGCGCGTCTGTCTGTCGGATGATATTCTCGTCGTCTAGGTCTAGGAACGCGAATTACGAACCGCCTGTGTTTTCGTCGCGCGCGAACGATTTCTATTCAAACTTCATCCAGTCTGACCGCTTGCGAAAGAGAACAGCGGCGCAGTTTTTGCGTATTCGCGCAATTAGAATTATATTGTAACTACGCGAATAGAAACAACTCCTTAGAACGTTTGTTTCTCTTCGAGTCTATATTGGTCGTGTTTTTCGGCCAATTTTTACAAATTTGTCGTCCTCGAAGAGAGAAATCCTATTTTTGGAACACGACGATGGTTAATTCCCTAGGCATGGAATAACTTACTTAGTTCGGACTCTGATTCGCGTTAAGATTACGCGAGAGAGACCGTATCTACGATCAATAGGTAGTGTGCAGCGAGTTTCGGAGATGGTCCTTAGATCGGTTTGTTCGCGTAATTAATTGCCGGTACACCCTCTCTATCATTAATACGCTAGCTTTCCCCTCGCAAATTAGCCGGAGAGAGTTTTCAAGTGTCTTTTGATCAACGATCTTTGCTCAGATAATCATCACCGCGAGTTGTTTCAGACGAGAAAATTGAAGAAAAGAAATACTTATTCGAAATTGTGAACACAATTAATAGATATATTATTTGCTATTAATGTTATAAAAAAAAATTCACGCATTTGTCTACAACACCTCACAGAAGCCCTTAACAGTTTCTGTACTTGTACAAGACGAATAATACCGGCTTTACACTCGATGCCGACATCATGGCGAGAGTACAACACCGTCGTACACTCTGGCGCGTAAACACACGAAAGAGATTTAGAAAAAATGATTAAATACTCAATAATGTATTTTTGTTAATTTATATTATGATTTCTTTCTTTCCGAGAGACGTAGTTCATGTTTACATTAACGACCTTCAACGCAATCGCAGTTTTCGACACGGCAAAAAAATTACAGAAATGAAAATCGCACAAAGAATCTTTCCGAAGCGATACGCGGCATCTTCGATGAAGAGGAACGAGGTTGCATCGTATCGCGTCGCATCGCGTAGTCGGCGGAAAAGGGGGAGGTGGAGTAAGTGAGAAAGGCGAAAAAGAGAGACCGAGAGACGTTCGGGGAGGCTCGGTGCGGAGTATAGAACGCCGCGCGGCTGGACGGGCTGACGGCGACGTAGCCGAAGACGAGGACGAAGACGTGGACGAGGACGAAGACGACGACGAGGAGGAACGTCGATGAAATAACGCAGGTAGTGGGCGGACGCCGCGTCCCGCTGGAAAGCAGCATCGTTCGTCGAGCAGGGCGTTTCGTGGGCGGGATAACTCCGCCCGTTATTCGGCGCACGCTCCCGTTATTCACGTACTCTCTCTCCCGACTCCTTCGTCCTCCTCGCGCGTTCTCTTTCTCTTTCTCTCTCTCTGTCTCTGCGCTCGCGACGTCTCACGCCTCGAGGATGGTACAGTTCCGTGTAGTCGCTCGCCCGGTCACGAACTCGCACGGGCGTACGGCCGTTTTGAACCCCCTCGGCGCTTTCGTCACCCTTTCGTCACCACCGTGTGTTTCGGGATCATATTCCCCCCTCTCGAATTTTGGCAGCCGCGTGAATTCGCGCGGGTGAATTCGAAGGGAAGTGTTAACGGACCACCGTTGAAGGACCACACACGCGAGAATATGACGAGGATGATGACCATTACGGACGGTATCGGGGTGGTGCTCGTCGAGTGCCAGTTTGTGTAGCGCGCGAGTGATAAGAGGACGCGTTGATAAAAAGTGAAGATAATATATATATATATATATAAAAAAAAAAAAAAGTGACGTTTGAGAAACGACAAGGAAATTCATCTTGATCGAGAATATGTTGCCGTATCAGGTGGCCATGGATTACGGGGCCTTTCAACGACAAAGCCCGGTCGGAGTCGGTGTTGGCGGACCCCATCAGGGGCCCGCAGCGCCGCTCAACATCAACCCCGCGTTCACGCACTCCTGGTTTGTAACACCGGCGGACCTCTGTGTCCCGTACAAACAGAGTCAGGGTCCTCTCCTCGAGCCAGGGCATGTTGTTTCTCTTATACTTATTTCTCTTAAAATTAAACGTACACTTAATGTCATCCGTTCCATTTAACGGTAACCGATTCATCTCGAATGGCGATCGACTCGCAAACAAATTTCGCGATGTAACATATATAATTGTATTAAATTTTAATTACTTATAGTATATATTTTTTTTTCTCAAAAACGTGTCCTTGATACATCGATCGATTAATTTAACTAATATGTGAAAAAGTTTTTACTTATCGCAAGATCTCAATTTTTTTTTACAACATAATAATAATATAGTATTATTATATAATACCCACAGAGTGTATTGTTATAATACTTTAGATTAGATTACTCCAGCTATATCTCTCTTTTGTATCACAACCCCCTGTAATAACAACATACCTATATTAGCGTTTGGAGATACGTGAGCTCTCGATTCCGGCACGTTATTGATGTCTCTTGACGTAAGCATGTCCCCGTTCGACAAATTGCGCAGATACGACAAGGAGCGGTTGACATCGAGAATTTCCGCGGCCCTTCGAAAATCGGATAAAGGGCCGCGCCGTAGTACGGGGTACGGTCCCAAGAGAGCTCTGTCACAGTGAGTGGATAATGGGAATGGTGATGGGTGACGCGGTAGAGGTAGGTATAAGACGCAAGGGTGGTAAACCAATGGGGCAGACGACGAGTACGTCACGCCGCGGCAGTAAACCGTCGATGCGATATCGAAGGAACGCTGATGCTGACGGGGCAACCGGGGGAGCCGTCAATGTTACCTTTGGCTCGTCGCCCTTTATCTCCTTCCTTCGCAAACGTACCTCTATTTTGATTTTCCGACATTGTCGGTAACGAACCAATCGCGCTTCGGTGCCACGACTCGACTGCCTCTTAATCGAGCGCGTCAGGTACTCGCGACGTCAAAGAAGATAAATCGAGAACGAGTCCCGCGGGTTTTTGTCTTATAATTTCTTACATTCGGAGATTTATTGCATTGTGGTATTCCCGAGATAAAAAAACTGCGCCAATATATGATTTACGCGAATGAATATAAAACAAAAATTTTATATTCATTTTTTAACATTTTTTCTCAGTTTCCGTCACAAGATACGTGGTAGCGTAATGTGATTTTGTTAATGTATAACATTTATGTTTTATAGATTTTTATATTTGATCTTTACGAGGGTCCTGATCTTCCTGTTATACTGATCGCGAACGAGTAATTCGTATTTTACATTTTGCATTTTGTATTTATTGCTCGGATAGAAAAACGTATCTACAGAATAAAAGAAAATAATGAAATTAATCTCTTGGGTACTTTTCAATATATCGAAAATTTAACAAAAATTGTTGAAGTTAACAATCATCTTTACTTTTAGTGTACTGATATTTGAGATTGAAAAATTATATTCATAAAAACCAAAAAGTATCCGAGATAGACATAACATTGAAGAATGTAATAAGACTATTAGAATATGATTTGGAAGCTTACAAACAATCTATGATACGTTGAAATCTAACATAATCTCTTTTTACTTATGTATGTCCTTGTTTGTTTCTTCTAACGACGTTCTATAGTTGATGTCACTTGTATCGGTAACAGTAGTCACGATATATATAGTACGCTCCAGGACTCTCTCAACCCTTCGTGAACAGACCTCAAAAATGACGACTAGTTCGTCGGACCGGGTTTGTAAGACCCACGCGAATTTAAGATCAAATATCTCCGCAAAAAATTAATTTTTTTTCAATCGAAAGTTTAAACGATTCTGCGTCGACAGAAAAAAAAACAAATTTAAAAAATCTAGTAGTTTCAAAGATATAAGCGTTGAAAAAAAACTTTCTAGAAACGTCGATGCGCAATTTTTGAGTGAGTCTGGGAGACCCACGTCTGTCCTTGAAAAGTTGAGTATGAAACTTGACAAATACACTCACACACACACACACATACACATTTTTTAAGGTCTATACCTAATAACCCAATACATAAAGAAATTTATTTTCGATCGAAAAAACATTTTTTATATGAAAATTGACGGTCACTTAGCTCGTGATAGATAATTTAAATTTTATAAATAATATTATACCTACAATTCATAAGACTGTAAGTGAGTTGATCATGGATTAAGTTAAGAGAATATGTGACAGCTAGAGATAGAATGTCAGTACGAAATAATTAACATGTCGTTAGAGAGAGAGAGAGAGAGAGAGAGAGATCAGTGACCGCGGTTCATATCTGACTTTGGCGACTTTGGAATCGTGACGCGCGCCCCGCCGCGCGGCCACGGCCTCACGTTCCCGGAAGTTAAAACACCGACGCATCCGGATGCGAACCACGGACGTGTGAGGCCTTTCGAAACCCCCTTGCTTTCTCTGCGTTAAGTTGACCAAACGTCGACTACTTACTTCACAGTGGGTGTCTATGGCTCAATCAATTCGATTTTTTTTTTGTGTTCATAGAGTTATGTTATTTTCAGATTTTCGAAGTGTGATTGCTTTCTTTCGCATAAAAGTTTTCTTTTGACAAGATTTTCGATAAGTTCTGGTTGAATTTTGTTACCGGATTGGTGCAAAAATAAAATTGCGGCTTTTGATTATCAATAACAAAACTAATTAATTCATTTTTGCACCAATCTAATGATTAATATATAAGTAATAGTAAAAAATAAAAATGATATTGTTAATTATTAATTTCTCTATTTAATTCATTTGATTTTTTGGAAGCAAAAATAAGAATAGCTTTATTCTTTAACAGACTGTAATATTCTTGATAGCGACAACGGAGAGTAATCGTCGATCTCTACATTCAGGTATTAAAGAAGCGCGCGACGCTGAGACGAGAATTGCGACGAAGCGCCTCGCGCTGTAAACTAGATTTGATACCGCGAGGGAGAATTTGGGGTCGCGTCCAAAATGTAAAGGAAAGAAGAAACAGCTCTTACAAGTGCATTTACCGAAAGTTCTCAGGCTCGACCTCCGCTCCTCCGCATCGGGAAGCTCATCACGTAGACTTTAAGCCCTCCCTTATCTGCGCGTCATCAGGAGCCAACTTCCCTCCGTCTCTCTATCTACCCGCTCTCTCGCCCTCTCCGCCCTCTCTCGCTGTCGCGCACATCGCGGTCTCTTGACTCTCTTACCATTTTTTTTCTCTCTCTCTCTCTCTCTCTCTCTCTCTCTCTCTCTTTCTTCTTCTCTTCTTTTTTCCATTTTATTGCGGGTGTCTATGTGTGTGGCGTATGCATGCATTCATGCGTGCGTGCAGCGGCTGTGATTTACGTCCGCGGATGCAGCGGGATGTTTTAGTGCTCTCGGCGTTGTTCCTTTCTGTTTTTTTTTTCTTTCTTTTTTTTTCTTTTTTTTTTCTTTTTTTTTTTTATCTTGTCCGCTTTCATTCAGATCCTGCGCTGTTCCGTGAAAAGCGTTTCCTCACTCGTGTCGTTATCCATCGTATCGCAACGCGCGTCGTTAGAATACACAATAGTTCTGTGCGCGCGCGACGTAGTAATGAAAATTTTTCTCGTCAAAAAGTGCGACGAACGATATTGATAGACAACTTCCCGAAAATGATTTGAGAGAACGAAATTTTCTCTCCCCGAAATATTCTATTCCCCTCGAATTAAACGACACAAAAAAATGCGTTCTAAAAACTCATTCCCGTGCGCGTAATTGCGTAACGCGGCAAATTTGCATTATCTCCTTCGCGCGCGCGGGCGCGCTTATAAAACTTGACATGATTCAAGCGTTGCATCATGAATGAAATCGCGGACTATGGTTTGGTCCACTAGAAGCGAGGGATGTATTGTGAATTATTCATGACATCGAATTAAAATATAAGCGACAAAAGACACGAGTCCTCGCGATACTTTTCGACGATTTTGCGAAACTGTTTCGCCAAATCGACGTCGATCGTTATCGCCGTGGTCGTTCCTTTGAGATTGGTTATCGGACTGGACATCGCCAACGAACGTTGTTTCCATTGAAAATCAAATCGCGTCCAAAAGAGTCGTTGAAATGATCGAAGCTACAATGCAAGTTTCGTATCTAATCTAATCGCGATGCGTAAAAAACTTATTCCTAGCTTCTCGTTATCGAGCGGTCAGCGGAAATGACATTTTTTTTTCTTTTTTTCGTCCGAAAAGGCATCCCCGATAGCCCTCCTTCTACTCTCTCACCCGGTCGGGGCCGCGAAAGAAAATTATGTCGAAACTGGAGCCGTAACATTAGGAGCATTGTATTGTTGCGCGAGGCTACGACTCTCCAGGGAGTACGTTGGAAGGTCCGTTCGTCCTTCTCCGGCTCACGTTCTTCCTCGGCGACGACGGGTGCGCGCGCGAGCCACGCACACGGTAGCGCGAGCACACGGACGCGAAAACACAGATGGAACGGGACGTACCCTCAGGTGGTGCTTCGGACCGGCAAATGAATCGTTTAATTGAATTAGTCGATGAGCCCGCGCTACGATGCGCATTATAATTTCCACGGTTGCCAATATCGTTTTCACTTCGCCCTGTCGTCGAAAAGATCATATCGAAAAGCTCGAGCGGAAGATCATCATCGACGAGGGACTGTGGCAACATAACACGCTGTGCGACTTTCTTAACGTATACAAACGTTCTTTTTTTGAAAACAATCTTAGTTTATATAGCAGATATTGGAAAACGACAATTTTGCTCGTAATTGCTCGATACAAGTAAAAGACGTTGTACTTTATTAGCTGAAAAAAAAAAAAGTAGGTACATGTCGTAAATTCGCAAGTTTCACATTTTAACGCGAGATTTTCTCGAGAGAAATTTATCTTTCTTAGTGATGTCGAAAAGTAATCGTCAATAAACTCGAATAATTTTATTTAAACAAAAATGATCATGTTTTATTCAGATTTTGCACACTTACACACACACACACACACACACATATATATATTTCAAGAAATAAAACTTTTGAAGAACGAGATAACACGGCCATATATTATCGAGTCGGAGGATTTTTCGCGTCACGAATTCCATCGGCATATAGGGAAACGATATTGTGTTATCCGTGCGGTAATCCGGACGATAACGATTACGCGCAGCTGGCAGTTTTTCGTACTCGTCCGACATAAAGTATTAGTAGCGGACGATTCGACGATCCGAGATCGCGAGAAACGAAGAGAAAAGGGATCGTTGCGCTCTTGGATCCGAAAGGGCGAGCTCTCGTCATAGCTCTCTGCTGAATTATTGATGGGCAGCACTTAGAAAAAAAAAAAAGGACTTGTGCGCAGCGCTCTCCTTCCTTCTCGAGGATCTCGCTAAGGATATACCCGGGCGATGGTTGCGCGAGGGACCACTATCTCCGGTCCCACGGGATTTTCGGGACTCGCGAGCCCCTTCGCTGCCGCCACCGCCGCCCAATTCCAACCAATTTGTGCGAAAGTTGGGCGTAATTTTATTTTCACACGTTTGCAGCAGACGCCTTTGCCGCGTTCGGTCCGAACGATCGAGAAAGAGCCAGCTGCTTCGTGTGTGCTTAGGCATAGCTTTTCCTCTGGCCAAACTCCTGAGGGAATGGATTCGGCACGGTCAAAGGAAAAAAAAGGAAGCTGCGTCCCTTCCATCCTTTTAGTCCTCACCTTTGGCCAATCATCGGCGGAAGTGTCGGCTTTTAATCGACATCTTGATTTGCGCCTCTGTTTTTTTTTTTTTTTTTTTTTTTCTGACAGGCGGCGATAAATAAGCGCAGAAACAACGTGTGTGTGAATTGTTATAATATTAACATTAATACATGCGCGTGGGATCCGTTCGAGTTGCAAGTCTAGCAGATTCGCAACAGACATCCAACAGACAACAGTTCGGTGTATGATCGAGGTGTACACTTCATCACTTGGTAAACGCCGCGGAAGGGAAGAATCTGTCATTATCCCTTTGGGACGAGAACGAAAGCCCTGTCTGTGAACACGAAACTCTCTCGAGCGAGGGCCGGAGGATCGAGTGTCGCGAAATATGCCTGTAAAATGCCAAAACAAGATTCTGCCACCGTGACGGCTTCTATATCGGCAATTTTCTCTTTCTCTCTCTCTCTCTCTCTCTTTCTCTTCTTCTCCCCTTTCTTTCGTTTTTACGACTTCCGATCCCTGTTCGGGCGCGGGCGGCGAGAACGGTCATAATGGGTTACCGTCGTGTTGGCACATCTCGCGCGCGAGGGAGAGACAATCCCAGGGTGGGGAAAAAGCATGAGCGGCGTTTTACAGTCGTTAAGCGCAATAGCGAACGAATAAAAATCCCATCGCGTTTCGAATCATTTCAGCTTCGAACCACCGACTTCTTCCGGGGCGGACCTGACTCCCCATCCCCCGTTAGAGAAACGACGGAACTTAGTTAATAGGCTAACTCTTAACCCTGATACCTTTCTGGGGAGAGATTTCGCGGAGTTTGCCGCACCACTCCCGATTTAGAACTACCGCCGAAGTGGTCTCAAGCGAAAAGAGTTAATTGCTCATTGTTGTTCGAGATGAAGAGAATAACTAATGTAGCTAAAAGTTGCGACTCTTTTGTTTATTTAGTTGTTGTTTTGTTTTCATTTCGAAATATTAATATTATGTTTCTATTTCACAAATTTTTTCTTTCCGTTCCGCGAGATCGACAGCCATTTTGTGATATTCTCGAAAATGCGCAATTTCATTGTTACCGCGTCATTAGAATTGATGGGTAAACGTCAAAAAAACGACTCAAAGATTGGCATTTAAAATTAATGAAAAAGTTAGCGATTCGCGTTTCGCATTTGAGGGTGGACGGGAGGGGGGAGGGGTATGTTTATCGTGCGGTTTAATAAAATCTTTTCGCGTGTGTACTCGCGACGTCCAGGAAACGAACGTTCGACGTGGTCCATCCGCGCGTGTTGTCAACTTCGGTAATCTCCGATACCGCGTCGTTAACGGAAAGGTTAATGACCAAGAGAAACACCAAGAAAGCGCATAGATTTGGTGCGTGTGCAACGCGCATCGGTCGTTTTCATTGGCCAACGTTTACAGTTAACATGTAAAACCGGTACCGGGGGGGCCGTCCATTGGGCGTGGTTAACGTTACGTCGATGTTCACTCGCGGATACACTCGCCGGCTTGTCAGTAAACATGGGCTTCATAGCGTTTGAATAATGTATGCCGCTTAAGCGGTAGCCGCCGCCACGCCTCTCCTCCTTTATACCTATTTGCGCGACCGCATAATTTCAGCTTCGAGCGATGCGCGCATTTGCGCGAAATAACGCCCACCTATCTCTCTCTCTCTCTCTCTCTTTGCGTACACACACACACACACTTGGCTTACTCGCGCTCGCCATTAAAAGACAAGTCGCAATGAACCGCGAGAAACCCGTAAAAGGTACGCGACACACAGGAAGTGTCGGACGAATTTGCGGGCCGATCGCCGGTCTTTTTCTATTATGACCGACTTATCGCCGAATTCATGAGCTCACGATCGATCGCCAGAATGTTCATCGAACCATTAATCCTTTCAACCGACGATGGTACCGAATCGATCGGACGAAGCCGAGCGCTTAAGGAAACACGACGAGGTTCGCGCTTGGAATTTCAACTATCGCGGTTGAAGGATTAAAGCGTTTGCGTTTCGGAATTATTTGAGATTTCTTTTTTTTTTTTTTTTTTTAGGAAGGGGGGTAACATTCTGCGAATTGCAATATCCACAGTGTAGCGTTTACTGTAATCTGACAAAATGTATTGCTTCACCGCCGTAACCGCGTGCGCGTGTTCTGAATTACAGCATCCTGGAGTTGCGCAAGGAAAAGAGCAGAGACGCGGCGAGGTCGCGACGGGGTAAGGAGAACTTCGAGTTTTACGAGCTCGCGAAAATGCTTCCTCTACCGGCGGCCATCACCTCCCAGCTGGACAAAGCCTCCATAATAAGACTAACGATCTCGTATCTGAAACTGCGCGACTTCTCCAGCCACGGCGATCCGCCGTGGTCCCGCGACGGTCCACCGCCAAGCAAATCTGTCAAAGGTAAGTCAAAACACGAAATATCATCAACGACAAAAAAAAAAAATAAATAAATAAATAAATAAATTCTGATCTCTGTATTTTAGTCTAAATTTGCGAATCTCTAACTTTTATCGCAATATCTCATTTATTGCTTGTATGTTATTGCTTATGTGTAATTATGATATATACACCTACATGCGTATCGCGCAGTATCGAGCAGACATTTTGTTTTAATTTATGTCGATAGACAATTCGGCCGGGGGGGGGAGGAGGGTTGATCAATAAAGATATATCTGCCGATGATGTTTCTTGATGGATCAGCGTTTAACCTCGGCAAAGGGGGAAGTCATCCGAACTGTTAATAGGGACTGGAACCCGTATTCCGTGGACCTAACTTTCTCTCCAGGGATAAGAATAAGAGAGGAAGTCAGCCGCGTTGTAATTCCTTTACGTCCGCGTCGTCTGCAGTAGAGCAGACTGGCATTGCGGCGGACATGTGCGAAATGTGTCATCGCGGTATTTCAATCGCGGTACATCAATATATGTATATCACGGATTTTTCGACGCGCATATTGCGTATATTTAGAAAAATGCAATATACAGTAATCACGAATAAGACGTGAAATATTTTTAAAAATTGTAAAGTATTTAATAATCCACAAAAAAAGATAGAAAGAGAGAGAGAGAGAGAGAAAGGAGAGAAAATAAAATAATAAAGATAAAAATAAACATCGCAGATAACATAAACGCAGCGATCACATCGACGAATAGATTTCGTGGATTTTCGATAGACGCGTGTCTTTCTATAATCGAACAAAATTGACGCGTCATGTCACACCGTTACACTCCAATTTGATTTATATGATCTGACACGTGCTTTCTTTTTTTTTTTTTTTTTAGATACAATGTTTCCTGAAACGCGTGTATCTCGCGACATTAGATTACCGACAATTAATTTGAATCGACAAAACGCATTTTGAAAATTAAATATTTCGGTCTAACATATGCGCGCGGTAATGCAACACGAGAAGAGAGAATCGGACAATAGTTTCTTTAAGGAAACACGTAAGCTCGTTGGCAATAGATCGAGCTTTCAGATACCCTTTATAATTCCAGTGACCATGCAGCCGGCGAGAGATTTCCAGATACATAGTAATAGAGAATTGTCGGCAATCATCGAGCGATAACATCGCCGCGGGTCTCTTTCATTTTCGTGCTTCATTTAGCGAAAAAAGGGAGTAGCCACGATTCTATTTTAGTGTACTTTAGCTGCTCGTCGCTCCCACGTTCTTTTTCTTCATCAATCGAAAAATATTGTTTACGTTTGCTATCTTGGTTTTACATTTTCTTCGTGTAATTTGAATGAAAATGTTATTTTTTTTTTTTTTTTTTTTATTAAAAGAATTGATTTTGTCAATACCGGAGTCTAACTAGTCGCTGAAACAAACGTCCGCCACGTCTATTCCGCGAGAGAAAAAATCTTTCCTCGCGTAAAAAGAGAACGATCTTTGTGAAGGACGTTGATATCGTCGGAAGCTTCACTTTCTCGCGCAGACCACCGCATATTTTCGGAGTGCAAGGGGACTGGTTGAGTTAATATTTACAGTGTGCGGGAGAGGGTCGCGGAAAGATAGAGAAAGCGAGAGAAGAGACTCCCGCACGTACGTCGGGTTACGTATAAAGGCTTACCTCCGCCACCGCTATCCGCATGAAAATCTAATCACGACAACCCCCTGTGTGCGCGGGGGCGCGAGCGCACCCGCGCGCGCTCCTCGCGTTACCAACCGCCAATGTAACTAAACTAACGAAATTGAGTTAGGCGCCGCGCATCGCTGCCGCAACTCCTCGTCAAACTAAATCCAGTGCACCCCCTGTTCTATTCGCGCCGCATGTCAGAGCCGGGGAACGAGAGAGGCCTCTCGACTTAACCCGGCTAAAATGATTCGAGATTCCGAAGGCTTTTCGAAGCTGATTCGCAACGACGTCGGGATCTCTCAAAAATAAATCGAGCGACATCTCTCCCGCACACGACAATTACACGTAATATTTGTTCGGAAACACATCGGTACGGATATTTTTCTAACTGCCTACGAAAAAAAAAAAAAAAAAGCAAACGGCCAAGTTATATTTATCCAAATATTGTGACAAACGCCGGAGTTTGTCGAGTGGCCGAAACGAACGTGCGGAGCTGACCGCGCAAAACTGACCGCAAAACGGAACGATCACGAACTTTATATTTGTAATCTTTAATTTTCAATAAAATCTTTGTTCTTGAATAAAAACCCGGAATGTTTTAACGGGAATTTTGTTTTAATAATGAAAACATGTGTTTTCCTGACGAGTACGTTCTTTAATCGTCAGTGTTCTGATGATGAAAAGGGAATTTATATAATTGAGAGAACAAAGGCGTTCGTCAAGACGAAATCCAGTTAGATTACCCCGAAGTCCGGCTTTATGTATACATATATATATATATATACACGATAGGAAATATCAGTATTACCTTGTTGACTGAACTTGGGGTCAGAGTCCGGCAAGTAGAGCTCATTTCTCCTCATCCCGATGGACTTACGAGATTAAGCGGTTCGCGCGCGAGTTTGATCGAGTCTTCTAAGTCTTTCATTACGAGCCTCGGTGGGGAAGCGTGGGATTATTATTACGGGTAAGAAGTAGGCCGTCTTGTTTGTTAAACGAGGGGAGAAAAGAAGGCGTTAAAGGGGTTCAAAGACTGAGTTACTCCTTTGGCTCGGCGCGCACATGAGTCACGTATAATATCGCTGATCAATCAAGAATACCTTTTTCGAAATAAACGTATGCCGTCGATTCGTCATTTGCCTACGAACAGTTTCGGACGCGAACTTTAGATTTTTAGCTACTTATAATTAAAACAACAGGTACGTAAAACATGAAGAAAAAAAAAACACTGTTACGATAGATAGTCGGATAGGTGAATGAAAGCGTTTAGCACATTTTAGGTGTAATCGTTAACGTGTGTGTATATTTTTATCTTAATTCTCTGTGCAGGTGCCAACCGAGTCAGATCGTCGTCGAATGCGGCGATAGATCATTTCGAAATTCATCAAGGTACCCACATATTACAGGTAAGTTCGCTCTCTCTCTCTCATCCGACAACGAGATAACGTTCATCGAGTTGTACGTTGATTTTCAATTTTCACTTATTCAAAAATTGTAAAATTGTGTCATATTATATTATACATCAATTTTGAAATTTTTAAAATGAATCTTTTGAGTTGACATGTACTTGTAACAATTATATCTGAAGTATAGTCGAAATACACGAAATAAACTCAGGGAGAATGGTTCGGCGACCATCTCTTGAAAGACTATGACATTTAATAATAATAAAAAAAAAAAAAAAAAAAAATAAAAAAACAAGAAGCGCGCGCACTCGCATCGTGCGAATATTCTCGACACCGAGTTTCTCAAGTGTCTCGTATTTTCTGTCGCTAGTCCCTGGACGGCTTCGCGATGGCTGTCGCGGCTGATGGTAGATTCCTGTACATATCCGAGACTGTTTCGATATATCTCGGCCTCTCACAGGTAAGCGCGCGGGATGTGCTCGCTTCAGCGAGAGATAGATGGTCGATGAGACGGACGGGGGAGGGATGACGCGCGCGCCAGGTTATAGGGGTGCGTAAGAGAAAAGTGATAACGATAACGAGAAAGCGAAAGCGAATAAAAAGCAACGCGAATGCAACGTGTACCGCCAGCCGGAAGGCCAGATATAGTAGAAAGGTATAAACGCGTGGGAGGGGGAGAGAAAAGTTGACGGAAGAGAAGGAGGTTGAAACGTTGAAGTAGTAGTGGTAGGTAGCAGCGAAACGATGGTGGTGCCGGCGGTAGCGAAAGAAGAGGGAGGAGGAGGAGGAGGAGGAGGAGGAGGAGGAGGAGAAGAAGAAGAAGAAGAAGAAGAAGGAAAAGTTGATAGCGTTGTAGAAGAATAAGGAGGAGAGGTCAAGGGAGGAAAAGAGGAGAAGGTTGTACGAGTTGGCGGCCATACTGGCTGGTACGACGGCGAGCATGACACAGAAGGGGGGAAGAAAGGATGGGTGGATGGCGGCGGGCGGAGGTGGTCGCATGCGGCTCACGTAGCCTCTGCACGGCGGCGTGTTCGCCATTCCTAATGCCGCGAGAGAGCGAGAAGGTGGACGGGGGGAAAGAGAGTAGTAGTAGAAGCCAGCAAGCGGTGGCGGCGTTGGCGGTAAAGCGGGGTAGAGAGAGGTGAGGAAGGTACGGGAGGTGACCGGTGTACTAGCTCTCTCGGCTTCGCGAAGCTCGTGCGGCAATCAATAGGGTGTTTCGGGGATTCGGAAAACCGACGGAAAGCCCGACGTTGGCACAAACATGGCCGCCGCAACCACGGGACCGTTGCTTCTTTTGGATTCTTCAGGGTATCCCCTACGTACCCCCTTGCTTTTCGCCGTTTCGCTCGAAACCGTCCGGCAGCTGTGATAAGACACAGTCCGATGTTTCGGGGCACGATACAGAACCATATATATATGTCTTCCAACAGTCATCCCCCGAAACATCGGAACGTAAAACAAATCCCCCGTTACGAAGAAAAGAAGATCGTTGCTTAATTTCAGGTAGAAATGACGGGGTCGAGCGTGTTCGATTACGTTCATCAGCAAGATCACGCCGAAGTCGCCGAGCAGCTCGGCCTGGGACTTGCAACGTCGTCGTCATCGTCGAGCACCTCGGGCGCGCATTCGTCCAATTCCGGTCTAGCATCGCCGAGCAGCAGCGCGTCGGAAGAACATGGTTCGTCTTCCACCGCGAATCCTGACGGTAATCCCCGCGTAATCGTAACGAACGGTCGCGGTCTCTCACTAGAACATGCAAATATACAAATATTCGCTTGTAAAAAGATTTCGAATAAAACTTGCAATTTTCTTTTTTTTTTCCCCCCCTATGCATCCTCAGTGTCCTCGGTAATGTCGCTGTCAGCGACCGGACTCTACAAGGGTTACGACCGGGCGTTTTGCGTTAGAATGAAATCCACTCTGACGAAGAGGGGGTGTCATTTCAAATCGTCAGGTTACCGGGTAAGCAATCTCGTGCGTTTTTTTTGAAAATTTTACATACATGAAATCTGCTTGAAAATAAAATAAAATTAACTGATATACGTATAATTTTTGTGATATTCAATACCACACAGTGTGAAAATACGTAAATCAAATGTTACATATTTATACGCGCGTACAGGTTGTATTGTTGCTGTGTCGTTTGAGGCCACAGTTTCTATTTAGCCATACAAGAAAGTCATCCGCGCCGCCTTTGATGGGCATGGTCGGGCTGGCCATCGCGCTTCCACCTCCGAGTGTGCACGAAATTCGTCTCGAAACCGACATGTTCGTCACACGAATTAATTTCGACTTTCGGATAGCACACTGCGAACCAAAGTAAGTGCGAGTTGTACGCGAATGACCATTTTTTTTTTGTACAAAAAATACATATGTCTTCTTGTTTTACAAAAAAAAAATAAATATATAACTATAAAAAAAGTGTAAATAATATAAATATTTTATATTCCATTAAAATTATTTTATGTTTCTCTTTCTCTTTCTCTTCGTCTTTTTTTTCTCTTTCACACACGCACAAATATAGATTAGTCTATAAGTTATGGCTGTTTTTTTTTATAATAGGAACATGTAATTCTCGTGTCTTCAGGGTTTCCGAATTGTTGGACTACACGGCCGACGAATTAACGGGGAAGAACTTGTACACGCTGTGCCACGGCGAAGACGCGAATCGTCTTCGGAAGTCTCACATAGATCGTGAGTATAATAATACCAATCGTATCGTGTAAAATTATAAAAAATTCGCCCAAATCAAAAAAGTCGCTGAGTATACCGTTTGCACGAGATCGTTTCGTAAAATCGCACACGAGGGATTTTTTCGTTCGCGCTCCCTGGAAGAGTTTTCTGTGTAATGTTCGAAAGAAACAAAACTGACGCGCGCGTTTAGCGAACGTTGCGCGAAACCTAAATTACACCATCGCATCTAGTACAGTACGAAATTATAGACGATAGCACCGCGCCATGCTGTGATTTCATAATGATCATTGGAAGCAAAATCTTCGAATCGGGATATTTCGAACGCAGGACGATGTGCTTTTCCACAGCGATTTATTCTTATCGATTGCGTTAACTGTGCGAACATTTATCAGACCGAAGATTTCGAACGATAATAGGATTGATAAAATAAAACTAAAATGAATCCAATCAATACAAAAGAAACAGATAAAAAGAAGAAATAGAAAATAGCTCCGCAAAAGCAATACAATAGTTGTTCGATACAAATTGCGGAATTCGCAAGAAATAGCGTGTCGGAAAAAAAAAAAAGGAGTCGTAATAAGAAACGCACATGAACAATTGAAAAAAGAGTATATCTTGACTGACCTACATGTCTATGGCAAATCGGCAATTAAATTGTGAGATTTCTCTTTGATTGAGACGAACATATGACAATGTCGATTCGCTCAAATCAGATCAAAAAAATTAAAATTAAACGTTTTTTAATCAACATTTTGATATCGCACTTGAACGGCTCATTGTGAGATACATTTTCTTCTATATTTTTTGCTATAAAAGAATTTTTTTTTTTTTTTTGTGCTCGCGGGGAAAAGAAACGAGAATAAAGTCGCGATTAATAAACATATGCACACGTTTCCAACAAATAAAGCCGAATAGATCTGCCACGCAGCATTTCTTGCTCCTGTTGTTCTAGGAAAATACTTTGGTGAAAGAACGCGGCGGGTGTCAAAGCTGTGCGGGAAGAGGGAAAAGCACGAAAGTATTAATACGTCGGTCTTTTCGACTGCGCGCGACCGCTTGCAGATTTTTAGTAAGTACGTATCTGTTTGTATTTGAACGTTTCTGATCACAGATATTAGCTTACGTAGGCATTGGGACAAATCAGGATGTGTTTCCTCATTAATGATCAAATTCGATTGCGTTAAAATTAATAAAAATAAAATATCACGCGCCTTCTATTGCGACGTGAAATGTCGCGAGTATGTCGTTATTGTTCGTTAATTGGATGCACGTGTTCTTGTGAGATTAACAGATATAGTGAGTTTTTTTTTTTTATCGTCGTGTTTTATTGGTGCCGGAATGGAGGAGAGCGGGAAAGTATAACCTCGACGCAAATGAGCACATTGTCAAAAAAAAAAAAAAAAAAAAACAGACAGAATAATTATACGTAAGAATAATTTGTTTTTCAATTAACAAAGATGTCTTTGAAAACACGAGGCATCTTTGCATCTGCAGGCACCGCTTCTTAGAGCATTATACAGAGACGAAAAGACAAGTTGAATATAATAATCCCCGAATATGATCAATTTTCCTCGTCATCGTACAAACGGTAGCTTCTCGACGCATTGCAGTACTTACGAAAAACGATATCAAGTGTTTAAAATAAAAAAAAAAAAAAAAAAATGAGAGAAGATATCGATTCAAAATATTAATTTTGGTGTGTTTTTGTTTTTCGCGATAAGTCGGTAGTTTTTAAAAACAAGTCCGATTGATTGCAGTAATTCACAAAGGACAAGTACTGACACACTACTATCGACTAATGAACAAAAGCGGCGGATACACGTGGCTACAGACGTGCGCCACCGTTGTGTGCAATTCCAAAAATGCGGAGGAGCAAAATATCATTTGCGTCAATTATGTTATAAGGTGAGTCTTCAAATAAATCAAAAAAAAAAAAAACAAACAAACAAACAGAATTTACGCAACATTATTTATATAATTTTGCGTTTCAATCGTATGTATGTTATTGAATTTAATTAGATTCGTGTTTTTTTTTTTTTCAGCGGCCGAGAGTATGAAAATTTAATCATGGACTGCTGTCAGTTAGAAGACGGCGTCGCAGGCGTTAAGAGAGAAGATACGGCCGGAAACGATCCAGAGAATGGATCGCCGGACGCCGACAGAGGAGGTACAAAACATTCTTCGATGTAGCGGAAAACGCGAATAGCTCCAGCCGTGTATTCCGGAAAATTCTCATGTTCTCCATCTTGAAGCGATATTCGTTGCGACTTTTGATTTCAGAGGGTCGTAGTCGAGGCGGCCCCGCGAATCAACATCAAGAACAGTCTCATCGGTCACCGCCGGAGGAACGAGAGGAGAGCCACGCGTCGGAGAGCGAAAAACGAGGTAGTCGGCATCACGACAATATGGCGCAGCTGCAGCAGGAATCGCAGACGACGGTCGGCAACATCAACACGCTCGTGGTGAGGTTACGCGGACACAAGCGAAAGATTCACGATGACGACAGCAGCTCAAACGAGGAAGAGGACGAGGAAGAGACCGCGGTGAAGGAGTCGGCGAGCGGCGAGAGAACTCGCGCGCTCAGTCCTAGCGCGACATCGTCCACGCACTCGATCTCGGCGACCGAGCAAACTCTTTGCTCGACCAGTCCGAAGTCTCGGCGTACCGCTGAAACGACCGGCAGGCTGGACAATCCCGAGAGCACAGGCACCTCAGTGAAGGATCTCGAGCAAGCAATGTCGAAACATCTACCGGGCAGCTCGCTGAACAAATCCAATTCACCTGCTGCGCTTCACCAGCCAACAGACTTCAGCACGGACGCGTTGCTGAAACAGCAGCAACAGAGAAGCACGATACAGTGGATCGGCGCGCATCATCACCTTGGCCATTTGAGTCCGCAACAATCTGCTGCGGCTCCCTTACCTGCCTCCGCTCTTCTCAGACAGCTGTATGCCGCCAATCGCGAGAGTGTGATCCGCGCCAATGTGCACGGAATCACGTCGAGCGGTGGTACCCGCCCTCCCACGTCGGCCGGCATTTATTATCCTGGTGAAACAGCTCCTAACGGACCTCTGCCCACGCCGCCGGGATCTGAGAGCTCCAGTACATACGGTGAGCATCAGTTCGTGCTCGCCGCGCACAATCAGAAGGGGTCCAACGGCACCAGTTGCGCCGATGCTTTCACCAGTCTGGTGTCGTCGTACACCACCGCCACCGCGGCCGGTTATTCGGTGGACTATCACTCGGCGATGACGCCTCCGTCGTCGGTCTCGCCAAGAGACAAGCAACAGCAACAGCAGCAGCAACAACAACAACAGCAGCAGCAGCAGCAACAGCAGCAGTTGCACCCTGTGAACGTGATAAGCAGCTACGAGAGCTCGTCTGCGTACGCGGATCAAGTTCTTCGTCACCAGTATGAGCCAGCGCAACCGTTACCTCTGAAGCCCCAGGTGTACTCGGCCACCGTCCATCCGAGTGCCCTGGACGCCGCGGCGGCATACGCCTCGGCGGGTCTAGCGGAGCAGCCACAGTTCTATCATCATCCGGCCGGCAGCGCCGGCTTCCACATCTACCATCCGAGTAACAAGTCGACGGCGAACGGCTGGTACACCTCGGCGTCCTAGTGGTCCCGTCCGTAAATCCCCGCCATCGTCATCCGTACGCGGAACACGTGTACTTAAGCGACTGTAATTAAAGTCCCAAAGTTCTCTCCCCTCCCCCTCTCGTGCATATCAGTGATACGCTATTACGTCGCTATCGCGATCACCGTAACGGCGAGCGATCCACGTTGTCGAGATTTTGGGATCCGAAAAAAGAAGAATTGTTCTTCTTCTCGGACTCGGCCGCGGATGCGCCAAGCGCGTCCCAACAATCGCTCTCTTCTTCATTATGTAGAACGATTTTATTGTAATATAATGAATAAATTATTATATATGTTGATCTTTCGGAGATATCTGCGTACGAGTATGCAGTCAACTAGAACTCATGCGTGTTCACCGTGCGTGTTCTGAAGTGATCTGACGCGACGCTCAAGGAGGCATAACACTATCTAGGGTTCTCGCGATTTAATATTACATGTGATATATATATATATATATATATATATCGGCAACCGGTGAGGAAACAACTGTTCTCACACCGCGTTATTCATCAAGCGCAATTCATCGCCAACGACGATCGGCACTCAAGAGCGCCGATACTTGGAGTATTTTGTATCTCTCATTACATATATATATATACATATATTTCGTTGCGCGGATGATTTTCGTAGAACAAACGATACAGTCTTAACACGCTCTAGACATTTAATTTAGCAAAAAAAAAAAAAAAGAAACTGCTGACAAAATTTATCTCGATATCAAACCAAGTGTTTTATAAGTAGCGTGGCATTTTAAGAAGAAATCGCTATCTCTATTAATTCGCGCTAAAATCTGTTTTAGTTGAAAAAAATTTGTTGAATCTGAAACGACTTCTTGTACTCTAAGTACGATGTTCGTGCCCATTCTGTTTCAAAGAGTTGGTTTGTTGCAAAATATTTTTTTTTTTTTTTGTTTCACACTTCGAAACTGCAGTCAAACAAATGTTAAACAATTCAGAACCCATTCATATTCAACACTTACCGGGATTATTAAATCAATCAGATTTTAATAATCATGCCCGAGTTTTTCGACGATCAACAATTCACAAAGTGGTGAACAAGTGACGAGACTCTGGCATATATACGAAGGGGAAAAAAAAAATAAAATATGTTACTTATTCAAATGCGTTTACGTCAATGCACGGAAATACACGATTAGAACAATTGGAGAACACGAGTGTGATATTAAAAATAGACACTTTTATTATTAAATATACGTACTGAAGATTCTTTACTTATTAAGAACAAGAGATACATTTTGTATGTATATTTCTAGGGACTGCTCTACAACGAGATATTATCTTTAAAGCAAACGAATAGATAAAATTGTAGATGTCGAAAAAAAAAAAAAAAAAAAAAGACACGTCGTGCGCATGCGAGAGAACGTCGACATTGCTGGAGGTAGCGAATTCTTTTACGAAAGTTATTGTATTTTAATGTTTAATATTTCGGACTAGTTGTTTTTTGACGAGTACACGTGTAAATACAGCTTACGTGCCTAAAAAAAAAAAAAAGATTTGCTCGCTCAGCATTATTTTGATTTTTTTTTTTCATTCAGTGATTTTGGTGATTCACAAAACTTCCGATGACATAACGTTTACGTGCGAGCTATTCCCCAGAAAACTGATATTGATCATAAAAAAATTCTGCACTCACGTTTCCGTTCTTCTATTTTTGGACGCAACAGTTTCCGGCAAGAACCCGCCAAGTGTTTTAATCGGTTTACACGTAACGCTCGATATCGGTAAGTAAATTAAAATAAAATATTTATATATTTGAACACACACATACACAGAATATAAATTGTTGGAGAAGAATAAAAAAGTGTTTTGTTTTTAACACACTTTAAATTTTTTTCTTTCGCACACATTTAAGAAAAAATGATAACAACTAAATGATAAGTAAGCAACGGGAATAAAATATTGTACATGATTTATTTATTTCATTTGTGTCCTTTATTTGTAGAACAATCTTGATTATTATTCTCCTTCTTTTTTTTGAGTATTGTTTTTAGATCTTGTTTGTGTAAACACGTGAAATGTATCTATAAATGGTTTTTTTTTTTTTTTTCGGTGCTTTTCGGAGATCGTTGTACATGATATTGATTTTAATACCAGATTTATTACTACAAAAAGTAACGAATGTGCTAATCGATATAAAAATGACTTATGTACACTTTTATCGTGTGTTATATGCTTAATATATAATTATCATTATCATTATTATATTAATTTATAATTATCATTATTATCATTTTTTGTTATTATTATTACAAATTACGTTACTCCTAATGTTACATGTTAATATTAAATTACTACGGTGATTTTACAAATCTACAATGTGTAAAAAAAAAAGGTAAACATCTGTAAAACATATAATCAAACAAATGAAAGTAAAAATAAATCTTAAAAGACGTAAAACGCACTTTGGACGGTATACATTACAACTAATACTATAAATTACATAAAAAAAAAAAAAAAAAAAAAAATGAAGACGGAATAAACATAATAAGTAATTTACCTGTGACAGAGACAGTTTTGTACATAAAAATCTGTTTATAGTACATAAAAAAAACTTTAAATCCAATAAAAAAAAAAAAAAACACTTATACAAAATGGAACGTGAAATGCACACACTCCAGTGACATGTTAGAATTACTTCAGATCTCTTTTCTTATTATTATAATAAACATAACTTCGTACATTTCCGACATAATCAGTTTATAAAAAATTTACGAGATTCGGCAGTTATAAGAAATGCGAAGGACACGTTTGTTTTAAAACTATAGAACAGTCTCGAAAAGTGATTTCAAACTTGAAAATAATATTTTTGGCGTAAGACATCATATGAAAAAAGAAAATAATTAAAAACAGAGCAAAAAGTTATTTTACACTTTTATATAAAGATGTTTATGTAATAATTTTCTTTTTAGATTATGTGTACTTGCGTTACACAGCGCTTACATATATAAATGCTCTAAATGTTTTTAGATGTACCATTCTTTTCTTTTCTGGACTTGATGGCCAGTAGCAGAATTTACAACTGCCGAATCCGGATCTAAGGCAATCTCGGCACCTTTGTCCTCTTGCGTCAAGTACTCGCCTTTATGTCTAGACATGTATCTGCCTATAAGAATCGCCATGATTACAAGAGCGATCAGGATCACCGCTAATACGCTGCCGAGAACGGCCGTGTCGGTCTCGTTGTACGCAGCTCTCACTTTTTCCTCGTCCACTTGCGGTGGCGGTCGCGTCTCCACAATATTCGGAGGATGCGTGATGGGCTCGACCCCGCAAAAGTCTTCGGTCAAAGGAGTACCGAGCGAGCGCACATTGCCAGGTCCGTTCTCTTGGAACAGCAACTTCAACGGATATATATCGTCGAATTCAACTCTCGATATGCAACCAGAAAATCCTTCCGTCATGGATTCGTTTCTGCCTATATACATATATTGGATATTGTTGAATTGCGCGTCCGCGGAAGCTTTTATGTTGAAATGGAACTCCATGGGTTCGTAATTATCGATCTGCATCACCAAAGTGGCACCTGAATTTTTTCTACCGATTCTGATATCGTGATACTGTCCCAAACCGAAATGCTTTTGCGGGAATATGACTTCCTGCCGTTCGAAACCGAAATCAAATACCACACGCAGATGACCACTGTTTGAAACCATTATAGTCATATATTCTCCCGAAATGTTGGAAAACAAGCCGAGTAAAAATCCTTTCGGATTCGTCGTCGTGAAACCAACGCGTATTTTCTCAGCGATGGTGGAACGCCAGCTGCCCATAAAATCGTATTTTATCATCGAACTGGGTCGCATGTTAACGCCGATTTCTAAAAATAATAAGTACAATCGAAATTAAATTTAATTATTTATATGAGAAGCAGTTATAGAGTCAGTTATATATTAATGTACACAGTCGCATTATCTTACCGTCCGCGCAAATCGGTCCTTTAAACGCGGTCCAGCGACAATCGCACCAGTATCCATCATATCTTTCATGGCACGTGCCGTTATTGAGACAAGGATTGCTCTCGCATCTACCAACACAACCTTCCGTAACACCGTATAATCCACGCTGCGCGTAACTTCTCAGATCTTGCAACTGGCCGTTGAGAAGTAATGCTCTTATGCAACCGACAAATCCGTCCCTGTAATCAGTTGTAGCACCCACCACAAAACTCGAGGTGAGAAGAAGCGCTCGTACAGGACCTGGAGGTTCTGGCATCTCGCTTTTCAATGCGCCGTCGATGACGATTCGAGCTGCTTTACGATTTCTTTCTACCGACACGGAATGCCATTCATTATCCGCCAAGTTGTAGGATGTTTGCATGCTTACACTAAGTGGCCCTCCTCCAGCCAGATACTGGAAAGTTATCTGGTTTCCAGTATTTATGGAAATTTTAATGTAATCGGTTGGTCCTTTGCTGTGAATTATCACAGCGTCCTCGATTGTGGTTTTAAACTCGAAATAAATATCGCCACTATGGCCAAAATCGAACGTCGGTAAATTGATGGTGGCGTCTACTATTCGGAATGTGACTACATTCTTGAACAAATCTGTAAAAGATCATATATACAAATTTGTCTTCGTGTTATTGAATTAACTGTCTGTTTAACGTATTGATTATGAGTAAAACTTACCATCGCCCTCGCAAATAAGCGGACCTAGTTCATAACGACCTTCTTTTTCGTCAAGTGGCGTACCCGTGTCACCAAAACGCAATTGTTTCACAGGTAGATATTCCTTCTCCTTAATATATCCGCCGTCTTCAAACCATCCTTCCAAACCGGAATCGCAGTTACACCATTTAGTAGGATCCGCGCAATTTCCAAGGATACCGCACTCACACTTCCGCGATCCAGGTACCGCGCCGCCCCAGTAATCCATTTTCTGATTATTCCGACTCACCCACCATGAATTTGGTCTAAAATAATCACCTTGTGGAACTGAAAAGAATCTGTTAGTGAGCACTCACAGACAAATGAGAATAAAACAAGAAATATTTCAAGATTATTTACCTGGAGAGTTAAATAACTTAGAATGTTTGCATCTATATCTTATACTCTGACTGCAACTTTTGGATCGGTTTATTAGAGCCTCTATCTGATCGAGATCAGCATCGTAATTGATATCTTGTATAAAACTGCCAGGTTCTTCAAATCCATCGACAGGAGTCTCATTTTCATTGCTGTGACGCAAAATTGTCTGTATGTGACCGTTGCTGACGTATACGCAAGTGACAGGGAACGGTTTCAGGGACCCGCTACCGTCGATGTCAATTTGAATTTCCGCACGCTGATTTACCGCGTTCATGTTCTTATATGCCTCGCATGAGAGGGGATTTAACGCTACGAAATGTTTTTATCAATTTTAGTGCAGAATATTATTCTCTATTTTTTTTTTTTTTTTTTTTTTTTAATAATAAATACAAGATATACACGTGCAAGTAGGACAAACGGGTGCCCTGTATCCAGTATTGGCACAATCGCAGGAGAATTCATCAGAAGTTTGACGACAGACGCCGCCGTGTTTGCAAGGATTCGGATTGCATCGATCTGTCANGAACGGTTTCAGGGACCCGCTACCGTCGATGTCAATTTGAATTTCCGCACGCTGATTTACCGCGTTCATGTTCTTATATGCCTCGCATGAGAGGGTATTTATTGCTACGAATTGTTTTTTTTAATTTTAGTGCAGAATTTTAGTCTCTATTTTTTTTTTTTTTTTTTTTTTTTAATAATAAATACAAGATGAACACTTACAAGTATGACAAACGGCACCCGCGTATCCAGTATTGGCACAATCGCAGGAGAATTCATCAGAAGTTTGACGACAGACGCCGCCGTGTTTGCAAGGATTCGGATTGCATCGATCTGTCATTCGACAAGTGTCAAAGACCAACTCATTCTTACAACAATATTCTTCCTCCTTCCATTCTGTCGGTAATTTATAATTGCCATCGATACTTATCATTCTCATGCAGCCAACAAAGCCATAATTGCTGTCCTTTCCGGTCATACCGCCGACCCAGTAAGTCGCACCGGTTATCATATCCAGCAAACGTTTTGTTATCATCGGTCGTCCGTCAACATTTAAAATCAGAGAATTTTTAGCTATCGTCAATATCACTTGATGCCACTTGCCGTCGTTGAATGTTTCGTAAAAGTTATCCAATATCGCGACCGGATACTGGCTCGTTTGTATCTCGACCTTTAGTTTACCTTTTTCCAAGTACATCTGAGAGTCAAAAATAAAATCATTAAGTTCAACTATTGCATTTCTCTATCAGTAAAAATATATTGAAAAATTAAGATATATTTCGTGCATCACCTTGACGTAACCCGGATTGGTAAAGATGTGGTAGAGAATTATTCCATCTTCTTTGTAAGTTCGAAATGCAAGGGAAGCGTTAAACTGACGCATACCCTCGTAACCTGCCAGTTTGGCATAGGATCCAGGAGTTACGAATGTGACGGAAATTATCGGTGGTTCTGGACAAATGTAGACTGTGTTAGTTTTATAATATTTCAAATTTTCGTCCACTTCTTCCGCCTCTTTCAGCTCGTGAATTATATTCGTCGAGTTTAAATAAAAGTTCTCTATGCAACCGGTAAAATTTTGGTTCACCACCAGACCGTCTTGCTTATTGGGCACACCACCGATATAGAGCTAAAAAAAAAATATATAGCAGATAAATTTGCCCAATTGTTTTGAATATTTTTTTTATTGTTGAATCATTTTTGCTCTTCTTTATTATAGAATATCACTACTTAATACTTACTTCTCGATTCAAATCCAACCGATGAAACTCTCCTTTTATTCTACCTTTAATCAATACCCTATCAACAGAAAACGAAACATTTTTCCTATTGCGGGAGATCAAAACGTCATGATACATGTTGTCATCCAGAAGACTGCCAACGGATAGACTCGTCATAATACCGGACCCGAGATCGATATTGAGCAACATTCTGTTGTCGCGCAATTGCAACGCTATGTAATCACCTTGCGTACCCCGAGAATACATTAGTACACCATCTGCGTTGTTTGTCTTAAATCGAAAACGTATAAAATGTCTATCAGTTTCGATAGGTTCTCTGAGTAAATCCAGACGTATCAGAGATGATCCATTGAAGGAAACAACATCAGACACTGAAAACATCGATAAATTTTTTCTACTGTGTCTTACAGGTCAGTATCATCGTTTAAAAACATTAAAAGCATATTTAGTTGTTATTTCATACCGTAATCACATCCATAGAGTTCTACTCTCAGCGATATCCTGTCTTCCCATCGAGTCGGATTTATTCTTACCCATTGTGCGATAATAGGAACCTCAAACTTATTAAGCTTTATGCTATCTCCGTCTACATTACCTTTAAACATCTGTAGAAAAATGAAAAACAATTTGACAACAGAAAACGTTTTCCATGCTCTGTTGCTACTATCTGTATTTCCATTTTATTTAAAAAAAAAAAAGTTTGTTATCCTAGTGTTAGTCAATAATTAACGTGATACACGTGCAAAGTATAAATTTAAATGCGTGCATGCTGTCGATTAGAAATAAATCTTAACGAGAAAAGTATCTATCACCATAGATTTGTTTACAAAGTGATTAATATTTAAATCTAACGTCATTTGGAAACACGACTTCTCAAGAAATCATTTCGAAAATAAATATATTAAAATATAAATTTTTTTATATTTGTACAACTTGATTTAATTGCGTGATTTTGTATGTGTGCTTGTTGATTAGATAAAGTGACTATTGAATAAGATTATTTTAGTTCAATTATTATCTTGAGTGAAATGTGATAAAATATTACCCAACAACTATCAATTGCACAAATACATTAGCACAGCTAGACCGTTAAAGAAACGCCAATGTTAATAGCTCATATGATAACTTCAAGAAATGTTAATATAGTGCCATCATGATTGATACAATAATAAAAAGAAAACACATTTATAACTCTATTCAAAGTATTATTATATATTAAGCGTTATTTAAAAATTCGGAACATATATTCATTAGACGTTACAACATATATTCTATTAAAATTCCAGATATTAAAAATTTCATTAGTACGCACATTATATACATTATATACATATTATATACACACATATATATATATATATATATATATATTTTAGTATAAACTTTACATATATACATATATGTATATATATTATCATTTTTTTTAACTTATCACGATGACGCCATATCATAATTGTCATGATTTTTTAAAAACCCCAGTGCAATATTATCAGAAAACAGAAGATTCCAAACAGTATCTTTTGAAACGTATTACAAGAAGTTATTGTCATAGCAAAACACTTCGTTAATTTCTACAAAAGTTTCTACGAAAGAACAGTCATTAAAAAATTTTACTGCCAGTTTACGAAATGCAATATGTTTTACAAGTTGTTCAGATAAATAAGAAAAAGTTTTTATTACGATGGAAATGATATTATAATAAAATGTGTTTTCAAATATTTTTAATAAATATTATATTATATACGTAGAACTTTTTCAAACCATAGTAATTGAGAAGTATTTAAACTACGAAAGAATAGAACACTTTGAGACTCGATCCTTGAAATTTAATACCTCTTCTACACCATCTTGACTTTCATAATTGGCCCAGGCTTGACCATCTTCAGAATATTGGACAATATATTCTGTCACGTATTCATTAGTATGAGCCCGCCCTCGCGTAGCAATGCTGCGTATCTCATATCTGTCCCCCAGCTCCATAGTAAGATGTTGATCGTAACTGCTAAGTTCGGGTGACCACGTGGAATCTCCTGTAAAGCCCAGCTCCATGTCCATGTGTAAGAGGAGAAAAGTAGAAGCAAAGCAAGCAAATGGATACAGGAAATGACGGAATAAGATGTAAAAGGGATCGTGAATTTTTTTAGTTTATTTCGTGTAACTTTCTAATTATTCTATTAATTCGAAATAACTTTTTACACAACTCAACTATAATATACAAGTTCAGTTTTGATATCTATTTTTGTGTTTGTATGTTTTTATGTGATGTTAGAAAAAGAAGAAAATAACACAAAATAAAGTGTCAAAATAAAAATTAAATTGTTGGAAACAAGTAATGGGTGCACAAAGCACTATTCAGGTGTAAATTTGTGCAAATTATATAAAAATACTTACCGTCAACACAATACTGTCCTAATTATAATTGTTCATAATACAGAAGCTTCGTAAAAGTGCTTAGTATTTATTTATACATATACAAGTACAGACTATTTTACATGCGTGCAGTATTAGTAATCTTACATATAATTGATTTATTATGCCAAGCCAAATCATTATGTTATAAGCAAAAAATAGAGATAGCAGAAAATCAACGACAGCAAGAACGAGCTTACCTTGGCGTTGCCATCTTCTTCTTTGAACTCCATATAATCAAGACCGTTGGTACTATAGCTAACACGATACTCCGTAACATATTCATTGTGCAACATTCGTCCTTGAGTTGCCACGGCTGTGATGTTCATTATTTGGCCCAAGTCGATTATTAAATACTGACCGAAATCTGAGTTGCTAGCTGTCCATGCGTTTCCGCCTACACCACAACATTTATGCATGCATGCAACTTAAGATAAACTTACAGAAGTGCTTATAAATAATAAGACGAAACATAGCCAAATAATCAGAATTAATTCGAACAATATCAATCACTTATGTACGTATATTCAGAGATTAATTTACACGATTGTACCAAACTTAAACATTTTGCAATATATATATGTATAGGATGCAGAAACGTTTTGTGTAGACACAAAGTTCTTTTTTAGAGAAAATACATAAATTTTTCGGAGAAAAAGATGGAATCTGTCTTGTATTCATTAAAATTAAAAATTTAAATTGATATAATTATTCTTCTGTATATTTTTGTGATTACACAACTGTATGTGTATAAAAAACTACAAAAAATATAAAAATCTATTATTAATGCTCTTAGTGATATTTTGAATATGAAAAATTATTTATAACTTATTTATAAATAGGTGAGAGTAAAAGAATTATTCAAAAGTACTGCTTAATGTTTTATTAGTTTGCAATTAAATTATTATACAATGTAACATATCCATCTTTCTTCTATATCTCTTTTATATATTGCAATATTTAATTAACCATTATGGAAGTTACGGTTTTTCAGATTTGGCAAAATATTGAATTGTATATTGCGGATCTCCTGGAAAAAGTGGAATCGCATGCATCATAAGTTTATCATAATCTATTATTTCAAACTTCTTATGTGATCGTGCGCGTGGAAAATTTTCGTTTTCTTGCAATGCTACGGCAACGCAATGTTGCGAGTCGAGTAAACTCTCTTCAAACAACCAATTTTGCTTAACTTCATTAATGTATAAAACTGTATCAGTTGTGATGGAGTCTTTGCTCAACTCCGAATTTGTTCGAAAGTCTATATTCTTTAAGTCAATAAAAATTCCAACACCAAGCGCTTTAACGTAGCTCTCTTTTAAAGCCCAATGTCTGTAAAACATGGATAATTGTTCCGTTTCCGATTTCCCGGAATCAGACTTTCCTTTTATCTCCTCCCATTCGGATGTTGTGAAATTTTTGTCCATTATACGAAAAAATTCAGAGACGTTCCTAACTTGATCTAATGACATAACATCTACACCTAATTTTACATCTGTAACCTCTCCCGCTAAAACTGTATAAGAACCTTGATGAGAAACGTTGAAACTAACAACAGCAGATTTATCTTTTAATATAGGTCTGTTATGTTCGTCTCTAGCAAAAGTAATCTTGTCATATAGAAGACCTGCGTATTCATTCACAAACTTTCTCATTAATAATCGGCCAATGAGAGAAGCTCTTACATCTTTACGAAATACAAATCTTCCTATTCTACTTTTCTCGTCGCTTTGTATACAAGAAACTGCATATTCAAACTCCTGCTCACTTGGATTCCACTCTTTCCAGTTAAACGCCCAACGAATAGCTGACGACATTCTAAAACTAGTGATGCTACGCATAACCATTTAAATTATTTAATCGCAGTTTGAACATTCCGTGCACTCTGTTTTCTTTTTTTATATATCAACACAGGTTGGTACAGTCTTAAATTATATCTCTGACTATAAAAACAATATTTTTCTTTTTTTGACAACTGTCATTTGAAATATCCTCCAGGTTACTTACTAGAAGATCCACCTGAAGCAAATATAAATTTATTACACTATGTTTTCCATGTTTTAGATATAAAGAAGATAAAAATCTACTTTTAATTTCATTTTAATTTTTGCTGTGAAGAGTTATATGATATATGAGATAAGTATAAGATGACTGGGTGATGTGTCATGGTAGCACATACAGCCCCACCTAACTTTCATAATTGAGCATAACTGGCACGATGGCCAATGCTCACTGATATCAATTAAATTTTTTAACTCCTGTTAGATGTATTCAAAAATATCACACAATATTAGCAGAATTATTTCTAACTATTACAAATACAACAGAAGCAAATATAGATAATGAGACAATATAGACAATGCATATAGTGCACAATATAGATAATGAGATTTTGCAGAAATAAAAAGCAAGCAACACACTACTACTCATGATATAAAATTGTATGAAGAAAGTACTTATTTGAAGCTAACAAATAAATGAGATGAATACAGAGATCTAATAATAGACATTTCATTTTCTTACCATTTAACCTAGCGTTTTGTGGACCTCTTTCTGGTAAATAAGTAGTTGCTGTTAATTGAGCTCTGTCCAAAAGAGGAATATTGCATTCATCATCATCTAAGAAGAAGTACATACAATTTTAGTGAAATATATGTTAAATATAAAATAAATTTGCACATTCTTACATATAAACATCATGCAATTTTTACATATATTTTTGGTTTTACACATACTGACTTAGTTAAGTATTTTTAAACCCAAAATATGATAAAAAAATATCAATATAATATTTACATATAGGTTCTATATAATGTGATATGTGTAAAAATTATTATATGTAGATATACATATATTTTTCTCAATTTCTCATAATTAACACATAAAATATGTATAATATTCTTAATTCTATATACACTGATTTGTTTTGACATATTACACACAAATTTATTTACGTCTAAGTACAAATTTTATGAAAAAAAAAAAAAAACTGTGTAAATAACATCTGAAACGTTAGAACTTATAAATTGCGCATGTTAAATATTAATATTTCAAATAGCAGAAAAAAAAAATGACAAAAGAGTGCTTAATTCAAAGTGTACACAAGGGCACAGAGTGCATTACGTAGCATAATGCGTATTTACTCTTGTGTAACGTAAATTGAACGCAAATACTTGCACGCCATGTTCTTGCAGGAGATGGGCTGGGTCGCGTCAGAAAGTTACTGTAGCGGTTATGTCGGTAGGTTTACTTACAGGCGTACACGAACGAGCTTGCCGCTACGGCGAATGCATACACGAGACACCTGAAAGCGGTCATGGTATCATCGCCTTGCACTGGAAGAAATGTTTCTATTCTCCGCAGAATCCTTTTAATCACAACGTCGATTCAATCAGCAGGGATTGCAGAGATCGGTGGGACGTTAGACGCGTCAGTCTGTTACTTCGAGTTCAAGCTGGATTTATTGAATACTTTCACGTTTGCAATCACGTACATATTTTTGTGCCAAAAAAAAAAAATACAACGTACTCTCTCGAGATTGCGATATATTTATGCACAATCCAGCTTCTCTTCAATCACAGCACTACGACGCGCGCCAAAGCACGCTGATCCACCACGATGACGCGGCTGTACTCGAATGAATCGAATGACGTGATGCGTGAAATGTGCCGCGCCTTGAGAATCTTTCCGATACGTCGAATTACTCATTTGATGAAAAATGAGAAGCGATAATTGAATCATTTATGTAATTCCATTAGCAAACGACTTATTATACATGTATCTATAAAACCAGTAAGTCTAATCTGTAACCTTTTGCCAATGCCAAAATTTGCACTATGCATGCAGTTTAAACGCCTGAAAATCTTTGTACATGTGTGCGTGCAATGTCGGCAGAGAGATAAAACAGAATACTACATTATCAGACGACGCAGAAAAAAGGAGCTACACAAAGTTATTCACTGTCAGTAATAAAAAAACTATACCCACGTGTGCTATAAATGACAGAAAAGCGATTTTAAGACAGTTTGTCGTATACGTGGACACGTGAAAATATAGCGTGACTGTAATTTATATTATATATAACATTAAATAATACATATTACACATATAATTTATTATATATTTATAATATTATACTTTATATTGTATTATATGTATTATATACATACTACAGTAATGTCACTGACCTCC